CCCCCCAACCACTACACCACAGATGCTAGTTGGAGCTGTAACAGACTGGTATCCACACCTGCCAACCACTACATGACCAAAAATAGGAGTTTTCCTAAGAATCCTCCCTAAAACTGGGGGGTCTTTTTCTTTTTGCTTTAGTAGAGGTTTTACGGCGCTCGCAACTGCATAAGGTCATATGGGTGCCAGAAGATTAGAGGTGTTACAAGAGAGTAAGAAACATAAAAAAGAAGGAGGGAAGATATGGACGATAGATGTTTGAAAGGAATGAAGAAGCAGAGAGAGAGTCCAGAACCCCAGCAGCTTAAGATCATTTTTTTAAAAAATAAATAAGCAAATGAATGTGTACAGTAAAATATGCAAATAAAAAGGTGTATTTTCATGTCATTAACAACAAGTCACACAAATATTGCAAATAAACAAGTGTACTTCTATATTATTCACCATAAGTAGTGTACGACTGAGGGAAACAAAATTCAAGAAAATAATCAGATATTGTACAAATTCAATCAACAATTCAATGAACAATCGGAGGGCTCCGATTTTATCAGAATACTTGACGAAAGGCCTGTTGTATCCCACGAGGCCTATAAGAGAGAATCTTGTATCACCTGTCTCTCTTTATGCTATGGAAACAAGATAAACTCCAACTCCATGAGCCTTTTAGAAGCTCTGAAAGTGACTATTGCATTGCTTACCTTTGTTAGATCCAGCACCATCACTTGCTCCATAATTTTCCATTGCGTTGAGAATGTCGTCCTTGCTAGTAGCAGAGTCGAGCTGAGGGTTCTTTCGGTTTGACCGAGGTTTCAGCTTTGCCAATGTCTCCATTTTGTACCACCTGCTCGAAAAAGATTTTACTAACTGAAAACACACTGCATTTATTATGCAAAAGCAGACTTTTGTATATTAGCAAACATGTTAGCAAACATACAAGCGATTTAAACATAAAATAAAAAGTACCATCCTAAAATTAGCCATTTCTGAAATGAAGCTAATATAAGACATCAGGAGATATTTATGTCAACATCAGGGCCAAAATCAGAATAAGAAACACTTTCTTTTCTTCCTAACTTCACAAGGATATCCGTCATCAAATAATTTTTAATCACCTAAAACTCAATAGCAAATCAAACTGTACATCTTTGTTCATCCCACTTTCTTTCCTGTGTCTTATCAGTCAAGGCCACACAATAAAAAAGTAACGGAGCTTTTGACTTGAAATTAAAAAACAACTCCTCACCTCTTGACTTGCAAACATGCACAACAAGGAACACACAGATCATATTTTGTCCTTTTTTTTCTTGAGCTTTACAAACTGGGAACAGATATGCCCGAGGGAGTAAAATTCCACTCCTAATTTTTTTTTCTCTATAAATAATACATGTGCCTTATTGAACATTTGTTGCAGATCTGTAACCAAAGCATGAACTGAGGTTACAGTTCAAGTAGAGCGCCACATACTCTCTGCCTTTCCAAAAACTAATTTACCCC